TCTTCCAATCAGTTGGCCAAGTGGTTGTTCTCCAGATTTCTTGGCACAACTCGGTGAGCACATCCAGGGCAGCATCTGTTAGCTGAAATATGTCAATTGGTATATCATTTATTCCTGGGGCCTTATTTTTTGTTATTTCCATCCAAGCAGCCTGAACTTCTTCCTCCATCACCAGAGTCTCTTGCTCATATGATGTTTCATGAAATTCTTCTGTTTCTGCCAATTCCTTTCCATATGGTGGCTCAGTATATTCTTTCCATCTTCTTTTAATACTTCCTGGATCTTTTCACATTTTTCCAAAGCATCCTTGATTATAGCAACTCGCGGTTTGAATTTGTTCTTCAGTTCCTTGAGCTTAAGTTCGGCCCTTTTGATTTTCTGACTCCAACTCCTTGCACATTTCATCGTAATATTTTAGTCATCCCGTGCTACCTTTTGAAATCTTCTATTCAACTCTTTAGTATCTTGAATTCTTCCATCTGCTTTGGCTTTTCTGTGTTCCAGTCCAATTTTCAGAGTCTCTAGCTGTTAATATATCAGTCATTTCAGTGGGAAGTTCCTATCTTTCATTGATCCTCCTCCTTTTCAAGCATGGTGTCCAATCCCAAAGACTGACTTCTCCCAACAATATGCCCAAAAAAAGTTAAATGAAATTTCACTATGCTTACAAGTAAGATTGTAAATCCTTATTTATAAGCATGGTGAAACTTCATCCTTCTAAGGATTGTGAAACTTCATTCTTGACACTAGTATTCAGAAAATCAAAATACAAATTTCATTAGGGAAATCTGCTGTCAAGGACCTCTCCAAAGTGCTAAAGAGCAATAATATCAGTCTAGAGACTAAAATGTACTTGATTCAAGCCATGGTCTTCACATCTACTTGTTATGCATCAGAAAACTGAACAATGACTAAGGATGACAACAGAAGAATCAATGCCTTTAAACTGTGGTACTGGAGAAGAATCTTGAACATACCATGGACCTACAAGCGTACAAATTTGTCTTGGAGATAGTGAAGTCAAGCTGTTCCTTGGAGGCAAGGATGAGAAGGTCTGTCTCACTACTTTTGTCACATGGCCAGGAGGGACCAGTCCTTCAAAAATAATAACATGTGTGGACGAGTGGAGGGACAATGCAGAAAAGGAAGATCCCATGTAAGATGGATTTACACAGTAACTAGGGTAATGGAGGTAGTAGGTGTGTTGGAAATAATGAGATTCGCTCAGGATAGGGCAGGGTTCAGAGTTAACACAAACAGAGGACTTGATTTTACATTAACAAAAACAACTTCTAAGGAGCAACTGCTTGCACTTCCTCCAAGATAGACTTGTTTATTGTTTGATAATTTGCACATTTTGTTGAGTCACCTTTCTTGGGATTTGGGACAAATATGGATCTCTTCTGTCAGTTGGGCATGTAGTTGTCCTTCAAATTTCTTGGCATAAACTGGTGATCTCATCCAGAGCTACGTCTGTTAGTTGAAACATATCAATAGATTCCTGTGACCAATGACAACATACGAAAGCCTAGTGGACAGAAAGTTATGCTACCAAG